TTTTTTTAAAGAATGTCGATCAGTTTGTCTACATTTATTTTGTAATTTTTTTTCTTTTTACTTCCTTCAAAAATGTGACAATGGAAAAACCTTTGAGTAAACTATGTGATTGTTGCAATCATTCCAAGGTGATATCCCGAGGAAGTTTGAAAGACTGCCAAGTGACGCACGAATGGTCTGTCTTGCGAGGTGGCTCCTACACTTGCCACGGGTCCTCCTAAGCCCTATCGATTGCAACTTTGTTTCTCAATTAATTTTTCGATTTTGTCTTTGTTTCAAGAGTCACCACTAAACTATTATAGACCGATTAGGGGCGGAGCCCATCTAATTCCTGCGAACCAGAGATTCATGGATACGAGAACTTGATTATGCTAGATGTGTCTAATGCATACTTTTGGTACCTTTTTGGGAAAATTGTCCAAAAAGTCCGAAACTTATTGTATGACGGCCAATTCAATCTAAAACCTTTCAATTATATCAATATAGTCATAAACTTTTTGATAATTTGCCAATTTAGTCCTAAAACTTTTGACGACTTGCCAATTCAATCCTAAGCCTTTTGTTGACTTGCCAATTTTTGGCCGATGTGGACGTCGACCTTCTTACGTGGCGTGACCGGAGCTAACGTGGACAAATTTTGCCTTTTTCTTCCTTTTTTTCCCTTTTCTTTCCCTTTGGCCTGTGGCCGGTACTCGGCCATGGCCGGCTTGGCCGGCCACCGACCACAAGTGAGGGTCGGCAAGGTTGTCACGGCCCTCACCGAATCTAGCAAAGGCTCGACCCTCGAGGCCCAAGAGCGAGGGTCACCCTTGCCTGTGGCCAGTCACTAGCCACAGGCCAAAGGGAAAGAAAAGAAAAATTTTACAAAAAGGAAAAAAATTAAAAATGCAAACTTTGTCCACATTTGCGCCGACCATACCACATAGGATGGCCGACAAAATGTCGACGTCCACGTCAATAATTTTTTGTCAAACTTAACTGAAAGGATTAAATTAGCAAGTCGTCAAAAGGTTTAGGACTAAATTGGTACAATTGAAAAGTTTAGGACTGAATTGACCATTCTACAATTTTTTTTAGAACTTTTTGGACAATTATCTCTTGCTTTCTTTCTCTTTTATGAAAACAAATCATGCAATCTTTTTTTTTATTATTCTTAAAACATGTGTCCAACATTCGTGCGTAGATATTCACTCAAATAAGAGATCAAATCAAATAAACCTAGGCATATCAGGCAAAATCAAAGAAGGCCTTGTTTTATGCCGTGGAATAGGAACCCCGAAAGCAGTAAATGGAAAGTATAATCAATAAGGAATCTAACCCGCGGCCGCGGATGTCTTAAACATAAACGTAAAATCCAAATGTCATTAGAGGAATTAAACATGAGTAATTTTTTTTTTACCTTATAACATGAAATGTATTATAACGCGATGTATAAAAAATAAACAGACTATTGTGTCATGATGACGTACAGTTGTATTAAAAAAATGCCATTACTAATTAAAGCTCAGCGTGTAATCCAAATATGTTATGTACCTTCCAAAGCTAAGGTTCTGTTTGGTTCAGCATTTGTATGCTGCTTTGGAGTTCTAAAGTCCCTTGAGCAAATACAAAATTGTTTGGCAAATTTTTTGGAGATGCAAGCTCTCCGAGGGCCTTTGGCTAAATGGAGGAATGGAGGAGCCTTGGGGAAGTTGCATTTTTGGGATGCAACTTCACTGTTCATCGAGCGATTACTATTCATCTTCTTCAAGCTTTGGGTCCAGCGGCCGGTGGCCGGCAACCGCCGCCTGAGGAGTAGCGCGACCTCGACGACCGCTACCTAGGGTCACCGGACCTCGGGCGTCACCGGGGTTGCGAGACCCAGGCCAGTCACGCGACCTAGGGCATCACCCAAGGTCCGGCGACCCCAAGCGGCGGTCGCGCGACCCAGGCAACGCCGCTTGAGGCCGCCGGACCTCAGGCGTCGCTTGGGTTACACGACCTAGGCAACGCTTGAGGTCGCGCGACCTCAGGCTGCCTCACCTAAGGTCGCGCAACCTCAGGCCACCTTGCCTGAGGTCAGGTGGCGATGGCCGGCAACCAGATCTAGCCGTCAGCGGTTGGCCAGTGACCAGATCTAGCCGACGGTGGTGATCAGTGGGTGAGCTCCATCGAGATTGCTTGTTTTTTTTGTTTTTTTTTAAATATCAGCAAAAGTCTTTTACAAAATATAATTTTTACCAAACGGTATTTAGAACAAAGTTGCTTTCAAATGTGATTTTAAAAAACACATTATTAAATACTACTTGCATTTCAGAAAACCCTTTTAACTCAAAGGCCTTTGCATTTTGTCAAAGGCATTCCCCCAAAGCCGAACCAAACGGGCCCTTAATACGTGCATGTTTCCTACTTAGGGCGCGAATGGTAACCATTCTGCTCCAGAAATCAAATTCTTGCCAGAAATTGATTTTCGGAATTCTTGCCAGAAATTGATTTTTGGAGGAGAAATCTAATTGATAAAACATGACTAATTCTGCTCCAGAAATTGATTTTTGGAACAGAAATCTATTTTGATTTGTTGATTTTTTTTGCACCTAAAAAAATTTAGATTTCACTCAAAGTAGGTGGTCACAGGTATTTTAAGTCATTCTGTGAAGTTTTAAAATTTTTTATTTTTTTATTTTTTTGGACACCTAAAAAAAATTAAATTTCACTCAAAGTGGGTGCCCAAAGGTATTCTAAGCCATTTTGTGAAGTTTTGAAATTTTTGATTTTTTGATTTTTTTTTGGGCACCTCAAAAAAATTAAATTTCACTCAAAGTGGGTGCCCAAAGGTATTCTAAGCCATTTTGTGAAATTTTGAAATTTTTGATTTTTTTATTTTTTTGGGCACCTCAAAAAAATTAAATTTCACTCAAAGTGGGTACCCAAAGGTATTCTAAGTCATTCTGTGAAGTTTTGAAATTTTTTATTTTTTTATATTTTTTGAAAAAAATTCACCAAATTTCCTATTTTCCCGAAATCTGACCTTTTTTATTTTTTGAAAATTTTTATGAATTTTTCTGGAATTTTTCAATTTTTATGCATTTTCTGAAAAAAAAAAATTTAGTGAGATCTCAAAATGTGTTGTAAAGGCCACGAAAAAAAGAGAAAATAGAGAGAATGCATTCTAGAAGAGAGAAGCTATAAAAAGTAGCTTCTTTTTTACTTGCCCAAAACTCATTCTGGAATCAAGAATGCATTCTGGAATCAAGTATTTTTAACAAACGCATTTTTATTCCAGAATGCAAAAATTGCTCCAGAATGCATTCCAGAAATTTTTTAACAAAAGCATTTCTGTTCCGGAATGCATTCTGGAGCAGAATTTCTACTCCAGAATGGATTCCATGCGCGCCCTTAGATGCAATTCTGAATTTTTCTCTTTCAATCTTGTCCTTTTATTTATTTATTTTACTCTTGTCGTCTATTTTAGGGAAAATTTCAATTAAGAACCCCAAGTGGGGTCCTTTTCTCAAAAGAAGACCCAAAGTGGACATGATGTCAAATAAGGGCATGAAGTGCCCAATCAGTCTCAAATAGGGGCTCGAAGTGCTCAATTAGTCTCAGGTAAGGGCCTGGGTTCACCGGCTAGTCAAATCTCACCAACCGGCGAGCACGGTTACTGTTCTGGCAACCGGAACAGTAAATTTTCGTCTCTATTTTTTTTTTCCTTTTTCTATTTTTTTTTCTTCTCTTCCCTCCGCCGGCCATAGCCGGGGCCGGCAGAGGCCGCCCTCGCTGGCGTCGAACGAGGGCCGCCCGACACAGGCGAGGGCAACCCTCGCCCTCGCCCGACGCCGGCAGGGGCGGCCCACGACTGGGCTGGGCGAGCGAGGGCGACCCTCGCCGGCGTTGGGCGAGGGCGAGTCGCCCTCGCCCGCCCACCCATGCGAGGGCGGCCCTTGTCTGACGCCGGCGAGGGCGGCCTCCGCCGGCCCCGGCTATGGCCAGCGGAGGGAAGAGAAGAAAAAAAAACATAAAAAGGAAAAAAAAAAAACAGAGACGAAAATTTACTGTTCCGGTTGCCGGAACAGTAATCGTGCTTGCCGGCCGGTGAGATTTGACTGACCGGCGAACCCAGGCCTTTACCTGAGACTAATTAGGCACTTCGGGCCCCTATTTGAGACTGATTGGGCACTTTAGGCCCTTATTTGACACTATGTCCACTTTGAGTCCTCTTTTGAGAAAAGGACCCACCTGGGGTCCTTAATTGAAATTTTCCCTCTATCTTATATAGTCAAACTAATCAAACCCTCAAAAAGTGGAATAACGCTGAACAATCCAGTGGTATAGCACTGAATTCTGCGCAAAATAGCAAATTTTGAATTCTCGACTGGGAAGAGTCACCTTTCGATCGAAGAGAATGCTACGAATCTTTTTGCTGTGAATTGTGTCATTGTGTGCGTGAATGCGTGGTGAATATGGAGAGGGAATGTAGAGAGTGCGTAGGTCTCCATGTGCCGCCGTTGACGGTCTTCTTTTCTCCCAATCACTCTATGTTTCGTTGCCTGTTAGGGAAAATCCTCCACAAATCACCTTTTTTTTTCCGTTCCTTTCTACCAAATGTACCATAAGATCTAAAACTTAGCGATCTTGGTGATTTATGGCCTGTGACTTGGATTGATCATGCTCCTCACCTAATAATCTTAACACAACTGAGCGATGATCTATTGATTCCCTTATCCTGTGTTCCTGTCCAAGATTATCGGAAGGGAACATAGGATAAGGGAATAGGGAAGAAACCGAGATCTTCGGAAGGGAACACAGGGTAAGGGAATTAATTGATCATCCCTCGGTTGTGTTCATTTTGGAAATTTCGAACGCCACAAATACAACTTCGAAGCCACTTTTACGCATCCCAGGACCTTTTCGTTATTGTATTTTCCTAGTAATCGGGTGTTACCATCCTTTTCTTTGGGAAGAATTTCCAAGAAATGAAAGTTGCGGGAGAGCTCACTACTAAATAATTCTAATAAATATTCTTTACATATCCTCAACAACCTGTATTTTTGGCCGTTTTGATAGATACTTTCACATCAAAGGGCAACAATGACTATTAGGCCGATATTTCCTAGTGCAGAATCAAGAGAAGATCTCAACAAGTTTTTCGGGCCAGGCATGCAGCATGCAGCAAACACATACCAGCGACGACTAACAGCTCTTCTGAACTTCAAATTGTGCAAAGATTGTCTAATTGTGTACGTGCCCCACGGTGATGCTCCACGCGCAGTTGTCATGGTGCACGAACCTTTTCGCACCAGTTATAAAGCTTGTCCTCCAGTGTTATGTCATCTCTTTCCAGCGTTTTACAATCTGCAGAGCCGTTCCACCAGCTGCTATGTAAGTTTTCAGCAACACCTTGGCGGCAATCACCTTGACACCCACTTCATGAAAATGAAGAAGCAGAACAGGAAAAACAAAATCACTTATCCGTGCCAAAATCAACATGAGCAGCGGAAGATTTAAGAGCGCCCCTTTCCTGAGTCGGGCCCATGTGATAGCTGCAACTGCAGCTCCTCCCAAGTGAGCTGATCCCGACATCTCACTGTCTCCCTGAACCAACCAAACGTATATGATTACAACACCAGACTTGTTGGTCCAAAAAATATTTCAACTTTACAGGCAGTTTGCACACGACAGATTCAGAAAATTTCCTCGGATTGCAGAGGACAGAATGCCAGTTGCATTACATAAAAGTTGCAGGTTTCGAGGCTATTCCCCGAATCGAGCCAAGGATCTTCCGAAAAATAGTATCACACACTTGCAGAACCAAGAAGCATGCTTTACTTCTGATCATGTCAACAAGCATTGTTGCGGATTATAGATAAGGCACCTCGACATAATCTATGAAAGATAGGAAGCGCTATCTCATGTTTTGAGATTGGAAACTGCAATCACCTATCTCAGAGTAAAGCACAATTTGTCTAGACCACTTCAGATCGTCGACAAATTGACATTCAAAAACTTGGAATAAACTTAAAGTGGATGGGACGTGACAAGTGGATTTACATAAATTACTGTTCATCTCAATAGTAGTTGCTCTATTTGCACATACCAATCCTGGCATACTCAAAGGGTCTATGCTGAACATTCCTTTCCCTGGAATCTTGAGATAATAAAAATTTGCATTAGCTACAAGTTCACAAAATAATTTTGCACATATTTCCAATAATTCAGTTTACCTTCAATTGCGAACGCATGAAAGCATGGTGCACCAAATAAAATATCGAACCACCAAGTGCCCAGCCAGATAAAACTTTAACAAGAATTCTGGTCCGAATTTTCTCACAATCTAACCGTACAACCGATTGAAAGGTACATAATTAATTAGAAAAAAGTAGAACACCGGATATTATCCATCAAATAGAAAAATCAAACCAACAAAGTAAAGCTGTCTACTTATGCCGAGGCACAAGACCACAAATGGTACGATTCTAACTAACATATTTCAGAAAAAGGTCCCCATCATAAACATAAACAAAAGAGAAAGAAATCTCTCTCTCACTCTCTCCCCCACCTGAAAACTGGCCATCCTTCCATGAGAAATGCATAAAAGTTACAGTCAGTTCTCCAAATTTAAATACACAGAAGCATTAAATGGTCAGGAAAACTAAAACATTTAAGGAAAAAACGCATCTTATCTCAAAGGAAATAAGAAGATGAAAAGGTGTTAGGTCATACATTGTACCCCAAAAAGTAAAGTCCACTCATGTTGTAGATTGTATGCTCCATGGTCATATGGCTGAAAGAAGTTATCAGTGTGTGCAGACAACCGCTCTTTAAGTTGTCGAAGGAAATCTGCACGGGAGAATCATAGAATCACTTGAATTGAGAAATGAAAATTTATAATTAGACCAGCACCGTTAGGTCTGGTTTTATTGGAGACCTTTAGTTCTAGGACAGAGTATTTTACTGTAAAGTTTTTCATCATAAAACTACGATCAGCAATCTGCCATAGCATAACAACAGCAACATTTGCAATTATCATCCCTGCATAAAAACAGCAACATTTGCAATTATCAGCCCCAGAACCATTTTGTCAACTGTTAGCCTTCTCATCCATGATTTCCTGCAGATGGGAAGACAAAATACCCTTGAAAAATTATGTTTTAGCCACATGAAGCTACAATCAAGTAAACTTCAATCATAACGTAGTGTTTCCACCAGATGGTCCAAACCACGAAACCAAGGAAAGTCAAGGAATGCTAATTTGTACGAACTCTAGAAAGCAGCTTATGCAGTAACCCTCACCTTCAGTTAAAGTAATCATGAGGGCTAATAGAAACACTTAGTGAAGCATTCTGCAAACGTGGCCAAGAACTTAAATGTCTCATCGATAAGTGGCAGCAGATTACGTGATCACCCTACCCCTGCATGAATCAAACCCTGCAACCACTGAGAGCACTCTTGCAGCCTCCTCTTGAACTTCCATCTCCAGAGAATCAAGAAAGCTGACCAAGGGGTGAATGACCTCACCACCACAAATTTCTGATCATCATTCGCCATTGTTAATGATAAAAGAGTAACTAGTTTATTTCAGAGATAACAAAGAGTATTTATAGGCTTAGGATTAAGCCTAATACATTTACACAAATATCCCCAACTTGCTAATACTCTAAAGTAATAAACCCAACACTCCCCCTCAAGTTGGAGCGTACATATCAAAAAGTCCTAACTTATAACAAATATATGAAACTCGTCCACGTCGAAGAGGCTTTGTGAAAATGTCTGCTAGTTGCTCTTCAGAATGTGTGTGTACCAACCGTATGTCTTCGCAGTTCACCTTTTCTCGAACAAAATGACAATCCACCTCTATATGCTTCGTTCGCTCATTAAACACTGGATTGCTAGCAATATGAATAGCAGATTGATTATCACAGCACAGAATAGATGATCCGGTCATAGGTAGTCCAATCTCAGCTAACAACATACGAACCCATTGAAGTTCACTGGTAACATTAGCTATAGCACGATACTTGGCCTCTACACTAGATCGGGAAATAACAGACTGTTTCTTACTTTTCCACAACACAATATTACCACCAAGAAATACACAGTATCCCGAAGTACACCGGCGATCCATAGGGCAACCAGCCCAATCTGCATCAGAATATCCTGTCACCTCCAAAGATTCAGGGTTGGAATAACCAGCTATACGAAGATGACCTTGATTATGGAACACAATACCTTGACCTGGAGCTCTCTTCAAATATCGAACAATTTGTAGAGCAGCTTGCCAATGATTAGTACGAGGAGAGCTCATAAACTGACTCACCACACTAACAGCAAATGAAATATCCGGACGGGTAATGGTAAGATAATTTAACTTGCCTACTAACCGACAATACTTCTCTGGATCATGAAGTTCTCCCTGTTCATTATCAAGCCTCACTCCAGGATCCATAGGTGTGTCACCAGGTTTAGAATCATGTAAGCCAACCTCCTTAAGAATGTCAAGAGCATACTTTCGCTGGGAGAGAGCAATGCTACCATTGGCATAGGCAACTTCAATGCCAAGAAAATATCGCAGACGACCTAGGTCTTTAGTGTTAAACTCCTTTTGAAGAAACTGCTTAAGTCATCGTATGCCTTCAACATCGCTGCCTGTGACAATGATATCATCAACATAAACAACAAGAATAACACATCCTTTTGAAGATGACATACTAAATACTGAGTGATCCACACTACACCGATGCATGCCAAAAGTGATAACCGCATCACTGAACCGGCCAAACCAAGCACGAGGAGATTGCTTAAGCCCATAAAGAGCTTTTCGCAATCGGCACACCTTCTCCCCCTGAGCAACAAACCCAGGTGGTTGCTCCATATATACTTCCTCGTGAAGATCACCATGAAGGAAAGCATTTTTTACATCAAGCTGATGATGAGTCCACTGAGACCGAGCAGCCAAGGAAATAATGATACGAACAGAAGCAATTTTGGCTACCGGAGAAAAAGTTTCATCATAGTCAATACCATAAGTTTGAGTATAGCCCTTGGCCACAAGACGCGCCTTTAAGCGCTCAACTGTACCATATGGATGGTGTTTGACAACAAAGACCTAGAGACAACCTACCAATTGTTTATGAGCCGGCAAGGGAATGAGCTCCCAAGTCTTATTATGATGTAAAGCAGCCATCTCCTCCTCCATAGCGCGAGCCCACCCTGGATGGGCCAAAGCCTCCTGGACACTACTAGGCACAGACACAGAAGCAAGAGATGACACAAAGGCAGACATCTGAGGGCTTAAGTTATGATAAGACACAAAATTAGAAAGAGGATACCGAGATCGAGTACGGTGAGCAATAGGAGAACTATCAGGAGACGGTGGAAGAGGATCAGAAGCCTGGACCGAAGTTGGTGGTGGTGGTGGAATACTTGCTGGTGAAGATGTATTACCCCAAACAGAACGAGGACCACGTGTATAGACCTGAAGAGGGTTCAGTGCTGGTGAGCCTGGATCCGGTGGAGTAGCATCAGAAGTAACAAACGGCGGCTCCGGCTGAGATGTAGGTGCAGAGGGTGGCAGAAGGTCCAGGGTTAATGGTGCTTGAGGACGATCATCGCCAAAGAATGCTTTATCCTCAAAGAAAGTCACATCAGCAGAAACATACTCCCGACGACGAGTAGGATTATAACAAACATATCCCTTTTGAGTACGGGAGTAACCAACGAATATACATTTTTCAGCACGAGGTGATAATTTGTCTAATCCAGGAGACAAAGAATGAACAAAACAGACACATCCAAAGATACGAGGGCGAACATACCATAAAGGACGATCAGGATGAAGAAGAGCATAAGGAATAGCTCCTTTCAGCACGGAGGACGGAAGACAATTAATAAGATGACACGCTGTAAGTAGAGCATAGCTTTAGAATGATTTAGGTATATGAGTGTGAAGAAGAAGACAACGAGCAACATCCAACAAATGACGGTTCTTACGTTCAGCAACTCCATTTTGTTGCGGAGTGTGAGCGCAAGAACTCTGATGTAAAATACCATGAGATTTGAGAAACGGAATAAAGGTAGATGAAGAAAAGTACTCACGAGCATTGTCAGTACGCAAACACTTAATAGAACAATCATACTGCGTACGTACTTCATGATAAAACTGGCAGAAAGAATGAAAAACTTCAGTACGATCTTTTATTAAATATAACCAAGTTGTACGAGTAGAATCATCAATGAAAGTGACAAAATACCGAAAACCAAATGAAGACTCTCGACTAGGACCCCACACATCGGAGTGAATTAACTCGAATGGATGAGACGGACGACTCAAAACACGAGGAGAGAAAGACTCACGATGGTGTTTACCTAACTGACACGTTTCACAATTAAACTGAAGACCTGAACTAGACACGAAAGGAAACCGTCGGAGTACGTCTGCTGATGGATGACCAAGACGACAATGTAATCGATAAGGATCATCCACAGCTTTATTATGAACTGTTGTAGCAGTAGCAATAATCTCAGGTTCCAGGATGTACAACCCACCAGCTTCACGCCCACCACCTATTCGGCATCCAGTCTTCCAATCCTGAAGAACACACGAAGACGAAGAAAAGATAATATCGCAATCAAGATCACGAATAATAGAACTGACTGATAATAGATTGTAAGGAAAGTGTGGAATATGGTAAACAAATGGTAAGGAGACCGAGGAACTCAATGATACACAACCTGTACCAGTAACTTTGGATTGAGAACCATCTGCTAAGGTGACTGACATAGAAGGAACAGATGAGGTGGATGTGAGAAGACGAGGATCACCATCATATGATGAGTGGCACCCGAATCAATAACCCAAGAACGAGGAGGAGTTGTCTTGGACAATAGACATGTAGGATCATCACGCCGTGCTAAAGTAGCGAGTAGGACCGGAGACAACACCACTCTCACTCTGTCGTGCTCGACCAACTCATCATATTCCGCACGAGTCAACCATCTGTACCCTGTCCAGAAGAAGATCCAAGGGAAGGAGCCCAAGGTTCAGTATCAATAGAAGCATGTAGACCCCGCAGTTCAGGATGGAGGTCATAGCAATAATCAACAGTATGCCCAGAAAGCTGGCAATGAGTACAAAAACGGTTCGCTCGACCACCACCACATGCTCCTCTAGAAGTATTACTACCACCACCACGAACGGCACCTCGGCCTTGAAAACCACGACCACGACCACGGTAAGAACTATCAGAATTCCATTGTCCACGGCCGTTAATACGACCACGAGTCCCTTGACCTCCACGAGCCACCATAGCACTACTATCTGAAATTACTGAAGTTTTGGGACTGGAAGTGTGACGAGCAGCTCGAGAATAAACTTCTTCAATGGAAGGAAGAGTGCTCTGAGAGGTAATCTGTTGACGAAGAGCACTATGATCTGGACCAAGACTACGAAGAAAGAGCACGGTTATCATGTCCGCTTCTCGTTGCTGCATCTGAGTAACTGTGGTAGCAGGTGGAAAATAAGACTTGAGGCGCTGATACAAAGATGCAAAACGAGCATAATGTTCTGCCAAACTAGCATCACCAATTTTGGCTTCAAATAGAGCCTCCCACATGTCACAAACTCGACTCATGTTATTCTGTCCAGAATACAGTAAAGCACACTTTGTCCATACCTCACGAGCTGTAGTGCAATCCATGAAAAGATGACGAATAGATTCAGTCATACTTCCCCATAAAAGTGTACGCAAAGTAGCATCTACGTACTTCCATTCATCTAGACTAGCTGAATCTGTAGATGGTTCTTCTTCAAGCCATCTAGACTGGCGATTAGAATAAATAAAAGTCGAAAGAGCCATCGATCAATAAGGGTAATTGGTACCGTCCAACTTGACCAAGGTACTGTGCAGATTAGTCATACTATAATATGAACCAAAAGATACTGAACTCAAAGAAGCACTAGAGGAGCCCAACCCCGAAGTAATAGACGGTGAATTAGATGAACCAGTAGACATCCTCACAAATCACTAATCACTGGAAACTTGACCCGCATATGTAATAAATAACACACCCCACTTATTATATAACTTCTGCAAGTATCCGCAAATCTCAGTAACCCCACATGTCACTCCAACTACAGAACACAAAATTCAGAGAACTGGCGCTTCAAAACATCACATTCAGCCAAAAGAACCAGTACCACCAAATTCAATGCTCCATCTTCACAAACCACAATGAAAAACAGCAAATTCAACTCCACAAATCACTTCCACACAATCCTCGGCCTCAGAAACTCCCCTGATAACATCGATTTCTGGGTTTCAATACATCAAAACACATGAGAGATCTGAGGCGAGTGATACCATGGTCAGACAACACTGATTTCTGACCTAGATGAGTTCCAGTAGCGTTATTCTTGGATTCGCCAGAGCTGGGCGACCCTGGATTGAGGTTGCCAGAGGTCGGCGGCCACGGATGGAGGTCGCCGGAGGTGCGCCGGAGCTAGGCGACCTTGGATGGAGGACGCGTCGCCGGCCCTGGGCGA